TAGAACCAATTTTAAACCAGAATAAGGTTTTATTTTAAAGCCAGATTTTCCTTAAATTTTACGACTCTTTATTCTCCCTTTTTTTTCCGGTCAAACCAATACACTTTAGGTTGTACAATCTAAGGGTTTTACAACCTAAGGTGTATTGGTAAAAATCAAGCTGATCTTTAAATATTAAGTAATACTATTTTATCATCGTTTTTTTGAGTCACTGCATTAATTAAAAACTTTTAAGTGGTACAAGAACAAGTCTTTAACCCAAGAATGTTTAAAATTTGTTTAAAACCAGCAAGAAAAAAAAATCACCCTAAATTAACTTAGTTGTAAACTTTAAAGTTTATTAATCTTTACCAAACGTCATGTTGAGAGGTTCACGTTCTATTAACAGTTGTTTAATTTAGTTTAATTCTGGAGTTAAAATCCACAATTTTTATTACACAACAAAATTCATTTATTTACTGCAAAAAAAAAATTGCAATATTGTTGGCATTCCTATATTGACAAATAACAACCCTCTTACTCTCAGACAAAGTCTTAAAGCATATCGTAAATATAATTAGATCTGCTTTATCTGCCAAGCTTAAGCAACTTTCCCATTGTTATAATGTATTATAACAATTAACAATGGGAAAATTAATATATTTCTTTCTTTTTTCTACAAATATAATCATAGTCAATGCTCAAACGAGCTATCATCTTTATAATGATAAACCAAAACTCATTCTCGCTTGGCTATTTATTCAACAAGTTGAATCCTTTAACTGTATTTGTCCCTTTATGCAATAAAATCTTTTTACAGCGTGATAAATAATTTAATTTTTTAATAGTAAACTAGATTTTAAAATATATAAATGTATGCCAGTATTTAATAAATAGTAAATGTAGATCTTTTAATATTTTTAGTGTAGTTTGCATTTCTGAAACCTCATGTAACTCTAATAACTCTGATTTGAACTCAAGTATTTTTTTACCAGGTTTCAGTATAATTTCCTTAGATAGAAAAAATGGAAAGCGGGGTGGTGGTTTAATAGTTTATATTAGAGAATGTTTGCAGTATATTATCAGGCCTGACATGAGCAATTCTGATGACGATAATGAGGTCTTAACAGTTGAAATCCAAACAAAAAAAAAATTAATTATCAGTTTTTGTTATCGCCCACCTTCGGGCACAGTAGAAAACTTTAATATATTTTTAAATGACATTTTAAAAAAAAGCATTTATGAAAATAAATTATACTACTTAATAGGTGACATTTATTTAGATTGTTACCAATACCACACTAATTATGGTGTTAAAAAATTTTACAATGAGTTATTTGAATCCGGTGCTTTTCCCATAATTAACAAACCAACAAGAATAACTCCTACGTCAAAAATCTTAATTGAAAATATTATAACAACTGATGTTTTCAATAAATCTCTAAAAAAGGCATCATTTAAAGTGACATCTCGGACCACTTCCCTATTTTTTTCTCTACTAATATCGACACAGATATAATATCTCAACAAAAACAAACTTTTAAAAACCAATTTTTTTCTAATGCTGACGGAAAAAAATACATACTGAAACTTTTTAGTCCCTGTGTTTTTAGTCCCTATTTCAACTTATTGCACCTCCTAACATCGAGTGCAATCCTGTCCACTTTCTCTATGCTGTCTTTCTAACACGACTACTTCTGTCTTTCACTCTAACATATCATCGTTCTTCCTAAACTCACTTTACTCTTGGTCCGTAGAGCGGGTAATGACGCTCTTTGGGGAGCCGAACCTGTCTTTGCGGTACCTTGGTAATGTGGCCTCTATATGGCAACTAGCCGGAGAAGGATAAACCACAATACCAATTTTTTTCTAATGCTAATTTGAAATATTTAAAGAACAATTATATTATTTTCATTGGAATCAAATAAATACCTGTGCTGACGCTAATTTAGTTTACAATACGTTTTTTAAAACATTTAATAAAATATACGATGCTAATTTTCTAAAACAAACAGTAAATAAAAAAACTAAAAGTTTAATGTCACCATGGTTCACAAAAAAACTAAGAAAATCCTCTAAAATTGAACAAAAATTATACATAAAATATTTAAAGACAAAAACTGAACAAAATAAAGTTCTCTATAAAAACCACGCTAAAGAGTTTAAAAGACAGAGAAAAAAAAGAAGAAAAAAGTTTCTATTCTAATTTGCTTGAGAGACACAATCTTAATTAAGACAACTCACTGGCATGCAGAAATTAAAAAACGAGCGCATTGCCTAAAGCTGTTAAAATTAACAAAGAAACATCATATGATCAAATTGCAATAGCTGACAAATTAAATAAATGTTTTGTACCAGTTGGTCCTTATCTGACCCAACAAATTCCTATCTTGAAAAATAAAATGAATAATTATGCTTTTCCAATAATTTTGTTCTTAAACTCCTTTGAGTTACCCTTTGAGGAATTTGAACTTTCTTTTAAAAAGCTTAAATCTAATAAATCAGTTGGTCATGATGATATTTATTGCAATGTTATTACCGACTCGTACGAAGTCATTAAAGATATTCTATTTTAAATTATAAAATGTTCAATAAAACAGGGTATTTTTCCCGACAATCTAAAAATAGCCAGAGTTTCACCAATATTTAAAGGGGGTGATGCAACCAATATTTCAAATTATCGGCCAATTTGAATTTTGTTGTTTTTTCTAAAGTTTTAAACAGAGAGAATTTTATATAATGTAATTTTCAATTATTTATCTTCAAATAATATACTGTATCAAAATCAATACGGTTTACAAAAAGTCATTCAACCGAACACGCTATATTCCAAACTACCCGCAATATTGCTGAATCTTTTGAAAAATCTCAAATATACATTAGGTGTTTTCATAGATTTATCGAAAGCCTTTGACCAAACCATTGACCACAAAATCCTATTTAAAAAAATAGAGTATTATAGAATTAGAGGAAATATTTTATTGGTTCTTAAAAGTTATTCAAGCAACCGTAAACAGTTTATTTACAGAAATACAACTGTCTCTTCCAATTAATTAGATATAGCATGTGGGATCTCTCAAGGTTCTATACTAGGACCTCTTTTCTTTTTAATTTACATTAATGATCTCCCTAAAGCCTCAAATTTAATGACGGTCATGTTTGCCGACGATACAAATCTTTTTTTATCTCATAACAACCTAACAAGATTATTCCATAATATGAACATTGAATTAACAAAAGTTTCTGACAGGTTTAAAATGAATAAGCTGTTACTAAATGTTGAGAAAACTAAATAATTACTTTTTCATCAAACTTCAAAAAAAAAGCTACTACCTCCTGTGATGCCCTTACTTTTTATAAACAAAGTTCAAACAAAAAACAAACAAACTACTAACTTTTTAGGAATAAATATTGATGAAAACCATAGTTGGAAGTATCATATTGATTTGTTGTACAACTAAGTAGCTCGAAATAAAGAAGTATGGTACTAAGCTAGAAATACTTTAAATAAACACAGTTTAACACAGTTATATTTCTCTCTAACATTGCCATATAAGTTAACCCATTGCCATATAAGTTAACCCATATCATATTGATTTGTTGTACAACTAAGTAGCTCGAAATAAAGAAGTATGGTACTAAGCTAGAAATACTTTAAATAAACACAGTTTAACACAGTTATATTTCTCTCTAACATTGCCATATAAGTTAACCCATTGCCATATAAGTTAACCCATTGCCATATAAGTATATCCAAATATTGCTTGGGGTAATACTAATAAATCTAAACTGCTACCTCTTTATCGTCAGCAGAAGAATGTTGCTCGTCTTATCAGTTATAAAGATCGGTTTGCTCATGCCAAACCATTATTATTTCAAATGAAAATTCTTAATATTTATCAGCTTAATATTTTTAACATACTTTGTTTTATGTTCAAGTGTAAAACCAACGAATCTCCAGTTTCTTTTCATAACCTATATATCTTAAAAGATAAAAATAAATACAACTTAAGAAATGATAATCTATTTCGGCAAACCTTTTTTTTAACTTAATTTGGATAGTCATGTATTTCATATCGAGGAGCTTTTCTTAGGAACAAAATAGTTTTAATTTTTCCTATGAATGGAATTATCTTGAATTCAAGAAAAAACTAAAAGAAATTGTTTTATCTTTTGTAGACATGTTTTTATATTTTTAAATTCTTCTAAAAATGAATATGAAATTTGTTACAGAAGGTTATATATAAATATTATATCTGATTCACAACTTATGTGTTTATGAAAACAGAACTTTTTAAAATATTTTTGTATGTATATATAAGAGTTTCAAAAATTTCTTTATTCCAATTTTATTTATATATTATTACGAAACTTACGTTCTCGCTAGTTATTACTAATTTTTACTACGACATTGTTTTGTTTTTTTGATTTTATACTTCATGTTAATTTAATGTACTTAATATTCACGAAGGTCTTCTGCGAGTCTCCGCGTCCTTTTTTTGTATATGTTTTCTTTTATTGTATAACGACTTTTATCTTAACTATCTAATTGTATAAACTATATTAAATATTCAAGGAAAGAACAAAAAATTGTCCATTAACCAAGTATCAGCCCAGTCAACTACTCTATAGATGTCGGTTTGTAATTTCTGCAGGTAGGAGGGCTCTTTTATAATCGCAATAGTTTTGGTGTTGTCAGCCTAAAGATTGCAATGGTGATTGAGCAGACAAGCCATATCATTAATAAAATGAGAGATAGTAACGCTCCAATACATGAACCCTGAGGTACACTACTAATGAGCTTCAACGAGTCGGATTCTGAAATTTCTATAACATCTCATTGTTTTCGATGAGTACATTAATCGACTGGCAGAAATATTCGTCAAAACCATATGCCCCTACTTTTTTAAGAAGTAACAAGTGAACAACTTTATCAAACGCTTTGGCAAAGTAAAAACGTGAATCCGTAGTGTGGGTAATTAAATCAAATGATTTCAATAAATAGGTTAAACAAGACTTACCAGCTGCAAAGCCATGTTGCACCAAGAATATTTTTCGAAAGTAAATGTTTAAGCACTGCATCTCTAACAAGTTGTTCCATCAGAAAAAAACTGCTTATTCAAATTATAACAAACATAACAAAATATAACACCATATAACAAATATATATATATATATATATATATATATATATATATATATATATATATATATATATATATTGTTATTTGTAAATTAAAAATATTAATTTATAAATTAACAAAGAACTTTCAATCAGTTTTTTCCTTTTTACCTTTTTTTTAACCATATAATAACAATTTTTTTAAGTTATTTATCATTTTAAAAAATAAAAATTAATTCTCATAACAATTTTTTTAAGTTATTTATCATTTTAATAAATAAAAATTAATTCTCACCTATTTTAATTTCTTTTCTTGCTTGTTCAAACAAATCAAAATCCATAGCTTCATATCTAAACAAATTAATTTTAAAAAAATAACCGACTAGTTATCATTACTAAGCGTAAATACAAAAAAAGTTGAAATATTTTATTTATGTTTCTATAATATCAAATTCATGTTGAACTGCACATGAGAATCTAAAAGATAGCACGAGAGAAGCTAGCTTTTTAGAACAACACTTATTATAGTCAGAGGTGGGAAGTAACGAATACAGTTACTCGTGTTACTCAAATACAGTTACTCGTGTTACTGTATTTGAGTAGTTATTTTGAGAATTTCTACTTTTTGAGTATTTTTTTAAATCGGTACTCTTACTTTTACTTAAGTACTTTTTTTCTAAAGTATTGTACTTCGCTACATTTGAAATCATATGCGTTACTGAGTAAAAAAAATTATATATTATTTAATTTCACAAATACAATGATTTTAATTTTTTGGTTTTTTTGAGTTTTGCTCACTTTAGTAAAAGTGACACTTTTAAATTGTTTAGATAAAAATGTTGAGCGCGCTCATAACGAGTTTTAACTGTTTTAGCTTGGTTTCTTTACTATACTCTATTGTTTTCTGTGCAAAAAAAAATTTTTTTGCACAGAAAATAATAGAGTACGTGATTTTTGTTTTTTTATTTGACAGCTTTATTACTGAAAAAGTAACGCAGTAACTTTTACTCTAAGTACATTTTTAATAAGCTACTTTTTAGTTTTACTTGAGTAAACTTTCCGACCGGTAACTTTTAACTTTTAACTTGTACTTGAGTAAAATTTCACTCAAGTAACAGTACTTTTACTTGAGTACAATTTTTTTTTACTTTTTCCACCTCTGATTAAATACTTATAGAAAAAAGAAAGGGAAGCGACATTACGAAAATGTGACAATGGTTGAAAGTTGGCTGCAAGAGCAGGTCAAACTATGTTTGTTATAAGTTTTTCTTTGCCTAAAGATATATTCAAACTAACATATGCTGTTTTAAAAATATTAAATATTTTTATTACATGTCAGATAAAATATATTGAAACTAATATATTGTTACAAAATGATTTACTATTTCTAGGAAATTTTAAAAAACAGGTGGCACTTTTCCTGAGTGAATTTCATTTATGAAAGTTATAAAATCTAAAATATATTTTCAACAAGACCAAGACCAACGATTCAATGCAATGACATTGCAAATGGCGGAAGCTTTTAACTAACGGTGAAAAGGAAAAAAAGAGTAAAGGAAAAGTGAAGGAAATTTTTAAATAATAAAAAAGATTAGTTAGAAATAATGCAAAAAAAGAAAATAATTGAAGGGTATAAACGAACCTAAAGATTGAAGAAAAAATAAAACAAGAAAATTAATAAAAGAAAAAAAAGAACAAACAGATTTAATCAAACAAAAACAAAACAAAAAAAATCAATTAATAGCAAAGTACCAATTTAAAAGAAAAATGTTCGAAATAATAACCAATGTTTTTACATCTTTTTTTTTTTTTGTGGCAAATATGTGATATTTGTTATATTATTATTTTTTATTATTATATTAATTATTAATTAATATTATAGTATTATCATTAATTATTTTTATTAAATATTATATTTGTTAAATATTATCATTTTATGGAAGCATTTCGTTTTGTAGTTTTTGTGTTTTTCTTTTCGTTTGCGTAAAGTTTGTTATTATTTGTGCTAATTATTTTTATTGTCGTTTTCTGTTTTTCTATTTTACCAAATTTTCTACACCTTTAGTTTTTTTATTTCGAAAAAAATAACTAAGTTTGTCCTTATTTTTTAATTTAATTTTATTATGTAGAAGTATTTGTGTTTGCCTTTTCGTTTTTTAGTTTTTGTGTTTCATCTTGAAGTTTTTGTTTTTTGCCATTTCGTTTGTGTAAGGTTTGTTTTTTATTTGTTCTGTTTTGCTAATTATTTTTATTTTTGTTTGCTGTTGTTATTGAGTGTTTTCATACTTTTTGTCTAATTATTTAAACTTATTTTAGCTTTATCGTTGTTATTATTATTTTATTTATTTTCTTAGCAACTTTCGGTTCATATTTGTCATTTTTATTATTATTTTATTATTATACCAATTGTTATAATTAATTGGTGTCACTCATTTTGATCATGAGTGACACTCATGTCATCATATTATTTGTATTATTATAGATAATATTATTATTTTTTATTATTATTGTTATAGTTATTCAGTGTCACTGCTTTGATCAGGCTTTTGTTTGAGTGACACCTTCCTTTTCAAATAATTATTCGTATTTATATTTATTCTTATTAGTTATATTTTATTATAAATATATTGTTTGTATCATTATAGATAATATTATTATTTTTTAATCATTATTGTTATAGTTATTTGGTGTCACTCCTTTGATCAGGCTTCTGTTTGAATGACACCTTCCTTTTCAAATAATTATTAATATTTATTCTTATTAGTTATATTTTATTACAATTATATTATTTGTATTATTATAGTTATTAGTATTATTATTGTTATTATTGTTATTATTATTATTATTATTATTATTATTATTATTATTATTATTATTATTATTATTATTATTGCTATTATTTTTATTATTTTTATTTTTTTTATTGTTATTATATGATTATATGTAAATTTTGAAAAGGAAAATAAAAAAAATAAAAAAATAAAAAATAAAATCATATTAGTATTAAAACTTTATTAATAAATATTTGAGTCATTTAAATAAAAAAATCTTTGGTTTATCGAAGTTTTTACTTACCCCTCTTATGTTTATGCGTATTGCCTTATTTTCATTAGGTTGAATTTTTAAAATGCTGCAAAGTATTTACATTTAAATCTTTAAAAATAATTTTGATGTATCAACTGCTATCATCGTTTAGGAGGGAGAGGGGGCTCAGGTTTATGTGATCATTTGTGACAGGAGGTAAGGGGTTAAGAATTGACAAATATAGGGTAACCTGCTTTATCAATGACTTCCATTAATTGCAACTACAAACATTTTTTTATGAAAAAAAAAGGTTTTAACTGATTTTTTTGTATTAGGTTGTTTTTGTTGTTTTGTATTAGGTTTGTATTGTATTATATCTTCTTTTTTTTTTTATGTCTAAATAAAATTATTTATACGATTCTTATTTTTATTTGTTTATGTATATTAATATGTCAACCAAAATAAGAATACATAAACAAATAAAAAAACAATAATATAAATAATTTTAATTACACATTAAAAATAAAGATTTTTTTTCTAAATTCTGCCAATATAAAAAGTTTCAGTTAGAATTTTGTCGACGATATTTTTTGTCGACGGTAGTTTTTACTTATGTTACACAAATTTAAAATGAAAATGTGCTTTTAACTAAGCATTGTTATTTAAAATTTAAATGTAAAAATGTAATATTTAATATTATTTTGCATATATTTTTAAAAAACTTTTTTTTTTTTTTTAAAAAAACTTTAAAAAAAAAAAAAACTTAATCATGTTCTTGTTAACTTACATTACATGAAAATTGCAAAAGTTCTTTCGTTATTTTCTTGAAATATATATATATATATATATATATATATATATATATATATATATATATATATATATATATATATATATATATATATATATATATATATATATATATATATATATATATATATATATATATATATATATATATATATATTAATATATATATATATATATTTCGAACACCGCATTAGCAATAAGTTTACAAAATTTTAATAAAAATCAAAATTATTTTTTATTCTTGACATGTTTCGTAGTCTTACTACATTTTCAAAAGATTTAATTTACAATTAAAACTCTGGTAAATAAATTTAAAAACTGAAGACAAAGAAGAAATTAACTAACAAATAAATTTGTTACAAACCGATTAAAATTATATTACAAATTATGACAAAATAAACTTCCTAATATTAAAATATTAATAGCAATATTAATAATATAGTAAGTAAGATAGATAAATTTATAATATAATGAGATTTTTGTTTATTTAAAGAAGGATTTTTTCATTTAATATGAAGTGCTTCTTTTATTTTTAATTTGTTAATGGTAGAGGCAGTATCCAAAATCTGAAAGCAATCATAATTAGTTAGTGTTTTACAATTAATGAATGAACTTAAATGTTTAAAAATATGCGATTGCTTGTCACTCGTAAGGTGCTCATTTATCCTTGTTGTCAAATGTCTGGAGGTTTCTCCAATATAACTGGCGTTACAGCCAGCACAAGAAAAATTGTAGGTAACGTTAGATTTAAGCATCTTAGGAAGTGGATCTTTTATGCAAAAACTGTTTTTTAATTTATCAGTTGTAAATATAAATTTGATTATTACATTTTTACAATACTGTTTAATAATTTTATCAATTTTAGTTTTAGTGAAGTTTGAGTGAAATCTTATAAATAGAAGCTTAAAATATCTTATATTAGTATTATCAGCAGTATTTATAACAGGCGGATTAATTTTCTTTTCAACATATAATTTAATTTCATTGTCAATAACTTTTTGCGGAAGTTGATTATTTTTTAAAACTAAAGAAAGAATTTTTATATCCTTATTAAATCCAAACCACGTGTTGTTAATTTTATATGTTCGATCAAGAAATTTTGTAAAAGACCCGTGTATGTTTTTTTGTGATAAACTGATGTAGAGACCCAGTAAGCACAAAGACGTTTAAAAGACGTTTTAAAGATGTCTTTAAGGAGGTCTAAAAGGCGCACTTATAGACGTCTAGATCATAAGGCTAAAAGACGTCTAAATGAAGACGTCTTTATAAAAACGCGTTTTAGACGTATTTTAGACGTTTTTTTCAAGATAAATTCAAGTACATGACGTAACATTTTCGCGTAGTGTGTGGTATATATTCATTGTATTTATAAAATCATATATTGTTATAATTTCGTATATACAAGATATACATAAGAACCAGCAATCAAAATAATATTGCTGTAATCACCACAAACGGTTGATGCATCAAGGATGAAAATAATATATAACAATAACAAATATATATCAAAACAGTAT